TTTCGGGGGCCTCAGGGGAGTCATACAGACCAATGACATCATTTATGAAATTGAGCCCAAGGAACATTCTACCACATTTGAACACTTGGTGCACAAGTTGGACAGTGAGGAGACAGTCCCTCCCATGAGATGTGGACTAACAGACGAGGAAATCGCACGCCAGCTCCAGTTTCTGGAGGGCAGGGATGCCACCCTGATGCAGAGCGGCTATGAAGGGTGGTGGACCCACGAGCAGATCGTGGAGGTGGCCGTGGTGGTAGACCACAATCGCTATCTTCATAAGGGAAGCAATGTCTCAGAGGTGTACACAGAAGTGTGCCTCGTTATGAATTACCTAAATGGCTTTTACATACCCCTGAAAGCGGAAGTCGTTTTAATCAGCATCGAGGTCTGGACACAGTCAAACCCACTCCCCTCAGATAAGATTGAAATTTTCTTGGATAGATTTTGCAAATGGAAGCATGGAGGCTTTGATGCCCGCTTGCCACATGATGTTGTCCATGTGTTTGTAAAGAAACATTATGGAGAAACTGTTGGATTAGCCTATGTTGCATGAGTGTGCATCTCAAGAAGTAATTGTGCAGTTCTTAGTGCTCGTTTTGACAAGCTGCATAGTTTTGCCTACAGTATAGCACACGAGCTTGGTCATAACCTAGGAATGAAACACGATAATCCATTGTGTACATGTGGAGAAAAACATTGCATCATGTATCCTTGGAAAGTGACAGCAACTAAGTTCAGCAATTGTAGTTATGCTAGTTTTCGGGACTTTATTGCTACAACAACCTGTCTGAGGTCTCCTCCCCAGCCAGACAGAGTCTTCAGGCACAAGCGCTGTGGGAACAGTGTGGTGGACTACGGAGAAGAGTGTGACTGTGGCTCAGTGATGTCCTGTGAAGAAGATCCCTGCTGTCAGGCAGACTGCACCCTGACCCCCGGCACTGAGTGTGCTTCTGGACTCTGCTGCCACGAATGCAAACTCTTGCCATCGGGCGTGTTGTGCAGAGAACCAGAAAACGAATGTGACCTTCCCGAGTGGTGCAACGGGACATCCTCGCTCTGTCCCGAGGACGTGTACGTGCAGGGCGGGGTCCCTTGCTCAGACAGTGGCCACTGCTATGAAAAGAGATGCAACAACCGTGAGGTGCAGTGCAGGAACATTTTTGGCAAAGAGGCCAAGAGTGCAAATCACAGATGCTATCGTGAGATGAACACCCAAGGGGACCGCTTTGGGCACTGTGGTTTCCAAGGTGATACCTATGTAAAATGCGATATGGCGGATGTCCTGTGTGGGAGGGTTCAGTGTGACGATGTGACTGAAATCCCTCTTCTGAGCAATCACACTACTGTGCACTGGACTCGATTCAATGAGGTTAATTGCTGGGGTACAGACTACCATTTGGGGATAAGCTCTCCTGATATCGGGGAGGTGAAAGATGGAACGGAGTGTGGTGTGGACCGTCTCTGCATCCAGAGGAAGTGTGTCCCTCCGACAGGCTTAAGAAAAACATGTTCACAGGAGACGTGTAACAAGAAGGGCATCTGTAACAACAGAGACCATTGCCACTGCCAACCTCACTGGGGCCCTCCTTTCTGCTTAAAAGCAGGAGATGGGGGTAGTGTGGTCAGCGGCCCTAGTCTTCGAACAAATTGGGATAGAAAACCATTCCTGCTAATGGTATGGTTGTTTCCTTTATTTCTGGTATCATTGTTTTTACTAATTTTATTGTATAGAACTCATCAAAAATCTAAGAAAAGGGAAAAGCCAGTTCTCACTACACCTGAGATTGAAAATAAGAAAAAAACGATTCAACAAAGTAAAAAATGAAATGTTCCAAAGGGACATCAGAAAAAAATTAAAATTTCCAATTAGAAATTTAAATGACTGATATAAGTTCCCATGTGTTAAGGGTTAGTTCCCTGCTCTAGAAGTGTTTTTCATATGCCAGAGCTCTGACAGAAAAATCTTTTGAGACTTATCATTTGGGATCATAAATAATAGCTACTAAACAATGAGAAATCTACTTTCAATTATTTTTTTAAAGATTAATTTATTTATGTATACAGAGCTGGGGTACAGGCCAGAGGTGCAGGGCAGGTGGCAGGACTCACCAGAGACAGAGTGGGGAGCAGAACAGGCAGATGGACGAAG